TTCACTCAAAAACATCTGCTGAATTCACACATCATCCACCGCTGTCCATGCACACTGTTCCTGGGTCCAAAACGAGACTGCCCACAAACCTTTTCCTCGCTATTATATAGCCCTCTGATCTCTGATTCTAGAATATTCTGGATTCATTCTCACGAATTTCCCACTGTTGAAAGTTGTGTCTGGCCCGTGATAATTCACATTTCACACAAATCCTGTGAACAATCATGTTTCACATAAAACCTGACTTTCCGATGTCTCTCATGAAACTCAAGACATAAATCTCGTGTTATCTCAACCAGTCAAAACATTCGTCTTACATCTATTACTGACGTCATCTATCGAGCATAAATTAATGAGGAGAAAATGACTCACTACACATGTTATTTGTTGTTTTTGACATTTTGTGGCAGACAAGAGTGGCTCCTGGTAGTCATACATGTTTTTGACATTTCATAGCAGACAAGGATGACTCCAGGTAGTCATACATGTTTTTTTTTGACATTTTGCAGCAGCAGATAAGGGTGGCTTCTGGTATTCATACATATTTTTGACATTTTGCAGCAGCAGATAAGGGTGGCTTCTGGTAGTCATACCTATTTTTGACATTTTGCAGCAACAGATAAGGGTGACTTCTGGTATTCATACATATTTTTGACATTTTGCAGCAGAAAAGGATGACTCTGGGTAGTCGTTCATGTTTTTTTAATAATATCTTTTAGTAGGCAAGGATGACTCCTGGTAGTCACACATGTTTTTCTGACATTTTGCAGCAGCAGAAAAGGGTGGCTTCTGGTAGTCAAACAACTGTTTTGACATTTTGCAGCAGCCAAGGGTGGTTTCTGGTATTCAAATAAGTTTTTTGACAATTTCCATTGCCTAAGAATGGTTCAGGGAGCAAAACATTTTTTGACATCTTACAGTAGGCTAGCTAGAGTGAGCCAAACAAGTTTTTGACAAATCACAGCATACATGGTTGTAGAGATATTTAAAACACGGATATACTACCTACATGCATGAATACATATCATTTATATTATTCTGTAAAAATAAGAAACTATGTCAGTAACTACAGCAGAGTTCACATACCAACTCCTGATCCTTGCATGAAGTAAGAGAATGCCATGCGGCAAGTTGGACTGGTGGCAGGCAGCAAAGGTGACATTAGATTGGCAGGATTTCGGTAAACACCAGATCCTGGAACCACTGCCATGTAGTGACCTGAGAAAGATTCAAGCCAGCTGATCTCAGTAAAGGTTTTTTATAACAATCAGATCACAAATTATTGTTTTGAGTTAAACTGTTTTTGTTACAGCAAAGACACAAGAGTAGAGTAGGGTTCACTATCTGAGTTTATGTCATAGTAATCATAATGGCAGGTAGTCAGTTTATGTGGGCTGGTGAAATACCTTATGTAATAACTTTACACATGAATGGCCAACTTATAGTGGCTGAGTACTTCCATTTTCTGGTGATGACTGTTGGCTTTGGCACCTCTAGCAACTGCCATGTGCATTTACTGCATGCACATATTTCTGGGTTTTGGCGGGACAATTGCTTGTTCACCAGTTTTTCAAATGGGGCAGTGAGGAACATTTTCACTGGCACAGGAACAGAGCAGGTAAGGGGAAACCTGACTGCAGTGAAGTTGAAACCTTGACTAAGACTAACAAGAGCAGATGTGAGGTTACGGCATCTAGCTCAAGCAGACTTGGTTGATATAACAGTGTTGACCACATGGTATCTTACAAAATAACATATGAGAAAGGATGATATACACTTCCCTTGATCATGGGGTATAGTGGTCCAGATGCCTAACCTTGTTAAATAAGGACACACAACTAGAAAATCCTATGTGCATGTTGTGAATGAAAGACATTGTAACCATTTTGGAATTAACAAAAGAATGCTTTTGCCAAAGTATCATTGTCACATTTTAAAAACTAACCACAGAGTGAGTACATAATGAATATAATTGTTGTTTAAAAAATGGTGTGGTGAAGTGGTCAAGCCATTTGCCTTGGGTCTGAAAGCTGTGGGTTCATTTTATAGCTGCGTCATTTGGTTCTAGAGAGCTACAATGTCTGTGCTTTGTGTGAATCTCTCAGCAAGTGGGTAGCCAGCTTGCAGAGAGAAACCGAGTTATATGGGATGAAACCCAGTGGAATGAAGTTTATCCTCTTGACTAAAAACTAGAACGTTCCTTGCTATAGTTTATGATATGTCCTAACATTCCCTCTGAGTGGGAACACAAGGGATTAAGACAATCTGCTTAAATTCTGCTTTGCAGTGAAGAAGAATAAAACATTTCCTCTTGCCAAAGTCCTTTCCATGTATTATTGGCCATCATTTCTGTCTTATAAAGGATAACAAAAATAAGGATGTCTGATGTCAGACTTATGGATCACAGGATAAAAGAAATGTGTTTAGCTTTACATCTGTGTATCAATTGAGCTGCCAGAGTGTAGTGGCTAGATGCTTGCCTGTTAATCTAAAGGTCGTGGGTTCGGAAGCTGATGGATTCAAGTCCAAACAAAGCCAGACTTTAAAAAAAAAAACTTGCCTCCCATGTTGACCCAGCCTTAAATAGGTATTAAGTAAAGTCCTGGAAAGTAAAGGTGGCTGGCATGATACTGAATCCAGCATACACTGAGTGCTAAATGGTCTAGAAAATATAAGTCTAACTTTATATGCCAGATATGCCTGAAGTTGTGTAGAAGGGTAGAAGGGTCCTTACTTTACCTGCGTATTAAAGATGAACAAAACAATATCTGGTTTCCCACATGAAGCTACTGATATTCATCCTCATACTTGTGTATCAAAGGCATTTTTAAAAAGGCCATATTTGATGTCTTCTTCTTCAGCATTTGGTCTTAGAGGATAATTATCACATTGTGTTGTGGCTGACAGCTACGCTGCAATCTCTGTGCCTTTTGACCCAACAAATTCCAATTTCAGCAAACTCCTAATTGTTGCCTTTTATGACATGCTTGCTAGGGTGCAGTAGGTCTGTTCTTTTATTTTTCACCCCTCCCCCACAATGGCATCTCAGAAACCACACAAGAAATTTGACAGAACCCACACAGGGAATCTGACATCATACCTGTGGATCCATTTGAGAAGGTTGTATCTCGAGTTGGTAACAATCCTGTAGCAGAGCTTGCTGACACATTTTGCCAGATTGTAATGCCTGTGCTGACATCATGCCATCTGCATGTTGATTTTTCAAAATCACAACGGGCTGCGGAAATACAAAAAATTACAATAAAAAGTCAGAACAAACATAATCCATCAAACAAAAACATGTCACTTTTAAATCAGCTCTAAACATGAGGTAATCATGATTTCAACCTCATAGCAAATGGGTCACCCCATAGTTGCTCCGCTTCTGTGCTAATAAAAGCCATAGAGAATGTCTATCACTGTCCCTTGAAGAAAAAATGACACATGCTGAAGTCTCAGCATGTCCAGAAACATACACATACATTATATGCATAAGGTAGCCATCATAAGTGCTGACACAAACAGTCCAATACTAGAAATGCAGTTCATCATCGATGGAAGCAGCAGTAACAACAGATCAATAGATGCACACATGACTAATCATATAAGAACCACCAATTCTGTGGCAACAAGCCGCTCACCATTTTCTGAGTTTTCAGTTCGCAGTAAAAACCGTATTGGTCACAATAAAAAAAAAAATTCTAAATAAAATCTGCTGTTCACAGTGTCGCTCCATGCACTCAACTCAGTAGCTGGGCGATGGAACTATATCCTCTCAGTCTGCATACAGAAGAAAATGCAATAGCCAACTATTGTCAGAAGCAAAATCTTGCCCTGGCTAAAAACTGTAAACCTGTCTATCCTCCATATTCACTGGATCCAGCCCTAAAAGTATTATGAGTGACTGATTAGATGAACAATTCAAGAACTGAAATCATTATATGGGTACAGGGCCCTGTCTCCTCCTTAGTAGCCAATGGAGAGTAGTTAAATGCACTAAATTGTTGGTTTAATAATTAAAATTGCCATTTTAACACACAATATTGCTAGTTTAACCAATAATATGTCTTCAATATTCCATTGCTCAGCTACTGAGCTGAGGTTGGTGTGACACTGTGAGCTGTGGATTTCATGTGACATGACTTTATTTTTAACTGTATGTTGAATGCACTAAAATGGGGTGGGGGGGAGGGGTGGCCAGTTACATTTACAGTGGCATGTACTTTTGTGGGTGCAATGCCAGCTTTCATAACTGTCCATTTACCCCAACAGGAGCTGCAATTCCAATGTGAGACCTTTAGTGCTGGCATATCTGGCAGATGCCTTATGCATTTTTACTTTTTGTGCAAGCTTCAAGATTTTTCTGGGATTAACAAGTTTCTCACAAAAGTTTCAAATGGGACTGTGACGGCCATTTTGTGTGATTTTTCAGGAATGGAGCAGTTCATAGGCAGTCACATTGCACTGTTAATTTAACATAAAACACTGACACATTGAAACATTAAATTGCTAATTTAACACATCACACTGTTAGTTTAACATGAAATCATACCACAGTTAGCCTCATCAGAGCCATCTTTGCAGTCAGACACAAAGTTGCACACCAAAGACTTGGGAATACAGGTGGTGCCATCAGCACAGGTAAAGTTTGAGCTGCCACATTTTGGTGATGCTGTTGATACTGCTGGTGGTGCAGTGGGAAGAGTGGCTGAAATTAACATTGAAAGATTATTCATCGACATGCTGGGGCTATATACTTGAGATTCATATACTTAAAGCAAAATTTTCATCAAATTTTGAATTTTATTTGCATACATGCATGCATACACATATGGCTTTACAGAACATTTTGAAACAACCCTTCCCTGTGTAGGTTCCAGGAAGGTCCCACTGCCTTCCCAACAAGCAAGTTGTGAAAGTCGACTAATTGTGGGCTTCCTTTGAAGTCAGAGTGCCTCTGCAGGGAGCCAATAGTCTGTATAATATAAGCTAGATCTGTAAAACTGATGTGCACAGAACACTCAAATTCTGGAACAAGACTAAAATCCAGAGGTGGATAAATAGCCAGAAATTTTTAACAGAGTTTACAGATAGTGAACATGGACAAGAAGAAACCAACCCCAGCAATTGTTTGTTTGACTATTGTTTTACAAGACAATTTTATCTCATTTAGGATCAAGTAATGCATGATGCATTTCTTAGCTTCTCGATACATGATACATTTCTTAGCTTCTCCATACATGATACATTTCTTAGCTTCTCCATACATGATACATTTCTTAGCTTCTCCATACATGATACATTTCTTAGCTTTTCCATACATGATACATTTCTTAGCTTCTCCATACATGATACATTTCTTAGCTTCTCCATACATGATACATCTCTTAGTTTTTTCATACATGATACATTTCTTAGCTTCTCCATACATGATGTATTTCTTAGCTTCTTCATACATGATACATTTCTTAGCTTTTCCATACATGATACATTTCTTAGCTTCTCCATACATGATACATTTCTTAGCTTCTCCATACATGATACATTTCTTAGCTTCTCCATACATGATGCATTTCTTAGCTTCTCCATACATGATGCATTTCTTAGCTTCTCCATACATGATACATTTCTTAGCTTCTCCATACATGATGCATTTCTTAGCTTCTCCATACATGATACATTTCTTAGCTTCTCCATACATGATACATTTCTTAGCTTCTCCATACATGATACATTTCTTAGCTTCTCCATACATGATACATTTCTTAGCTTCTCCATACATGATACATTTCTTAGCTTCTCCATACATGATACATTTCTTAGCTTCTCCATACATGATATACTTGTATTAACTTTCTTTGGTTCATCCAACTGTTTCATGGGCTCATTCTGTCCCAGTCGTTATTTAACTATTCTTGTGATATTGTGTTAATTTTTAACCTTTTTCAACCCAAGCATTTTATGATTAAAAACAAATACATAATAACTCTGACCCAGTAAAAGTATGCCTGTCTGGGACTGAAAGAGTTTAGCTAAGTAGTTTGCCATTGCTTTCAGAATGATTGGTGCTTTAAACCATTGCTGAAATCAATTTAAAGTTGTCTGCTGCAAAATGAACTGTGCATTTTAGAATTAAATATCATGTTCATAACTTTTAAGCTTCAGATGCCAGTGTGTCTTACATATACAGAACACATTATTATCATGTACATAAGTTAGCCGTCAGTTACTATACAGGCTTCATGATACTTAACATGCATGCAGATTATCTGGCAGACAAGGTGGTTACCATGACTACCCAGGCAATGGACAGGGATGATGTCATTAATGGCAGACAAAATAAATGCTTTTTAAGAAGAAGATCACCACAACAGGCAGGACTCAGTGTCCTTGTTCAGGTTGGTGGACACCAAGGTGCAACCTGGAACAGCCAGACATGAATATTTCACCAATGACACAAGACATCTCATTATCTGACAAAGAACAGATATTATCAATAAATATACTCTGATGGAGCTACTGAGGAGGAGATTGGAGCACTTATGTATCCATCCGGAGTGCTGTAAAGATAGCCCTCACTAATAACTAATAGTAAATTTTTTTCTCCACAAACACATAATTTTTTTTTCTCCACAAACACATAAATAGATTACATAAATGACTTACTTCCAGCAGATGCAAGAGCACAGCTGTCTGATAAAGAAATGTCATCTATCCCAATATCACTTGTGTAGCTTGAACCTGCAACTCCTTCAATAACAATCTGTGTTTGACAAAACAGAAACAAACAGTCAAAGCAATGTTTGGCCTCTGTGAATTGGTAGATAGAAGACATAGACAATTGCTGCATAATATATTGCCTAATATATTTTGCTCCATCTTGTCAGGTGCATACCACACACACAAAAACTGAACAAATGAAGCAAATTAATGACTCTTTTAAACTGGGTTTTTACTTTTAAAAGGATTAATTTCTTCATCCATTAAATTTGTAATTAATTGTTTTTGGTAGTATGTTGCTGATGAGGTAGACTAAAGACAAAAAGGAAAGATAACATCAGATAAACTCTACAACGATGCAATGTGTCTACATTTTAGGTGGCAAGAGGAGCAAGAAGCAGAACTGTATATCTCCTTGCACACCTGCAGTAGTAAAAGAGGAAGTGAAGAAGCAAAACTGTATATCTCCTTGCACACCTGAAGTGGTAAAAGGGGAAGTGAAGAAGGAAGTAGAACCCTATACCTCCTTGCACACCTGAAGTGGTAAAAGAGGAAGTGAAGAAGCAGAACCCTATATCACCTGGCACACCTAAAGTGGTAAAAGAGGAAGTGAAGAAGCAGAAGAAGACAACACAGTGAATTATAAATGATTGTATTTTCTGCTTTTCAAAGCTCTAACTGGTTAATTTTTCTATCATGGAATTATATTTGATTAGAAACATTTTGTTTTTGATAAAGCTTACCTATGATAAAATCTGTCACAACAGAAAATATCAACATATAAATATGGTAACTCAATGTGTGGACTTCAGGGCTCTATTTTAGGAGTAAAAAATAATTGCTCCCCCCCCCCCCCCCCCCACCCCCACCATCCATAACACGCATGCCATTAAAGGCAATGAATTAGAGGTTTGCTGAAATCAGACATGCTGGTCTGAAAGGTGCAGATATTGTAGCCTAGCTGTGAACCACAACCATATAAAATGGGCACAGGCAAATAGACAGTTTAAGAAACTTTGTTCCAGTTTTATAAATGACAACGGGTCGCATGTGAACTCTGGTCATTATAATTATTGACAGTGTTCTAGAAACTTTTAAATTAAACCATCTGAAAGCTTTTGTGAGCAGCATTCGCCAACCAACTGCAGCAGAGTGGGTTATGAGAAATTGTCGCCACTGAAGCCCTTTTTTCTAGTTTCTTCACCATGTCAATACACCGGAAATCCCCAAGGGTGAGCTGTACTTGTGCGGGAAAGGAACTGGACCTATCTGACATTTTTTTTGCTTCCTTATGATGATTTCGGCGTCTGTGGCTTAGGCATTACGAACGTGCTTCGTAAGGCCGGGGTGCTGGGTTCAATTCCGGCTGCGGGCCTTGCGCCTTGCATTGATTTGGACAGTGGTATCAAGAAGCCGACTATCCAGAGAGCAATGGCAAACTACTGGACATAAGTGTGCCTAGAAAAACCACAAGAGCCATGATGACACCTACTGTGGTATAAATACACCAAAACATCATCACTTTTTACCCAGTCTGTTGTGCAATGTAAAGTGTAATTAAAGTTTTCAAAGTTTATTCTTCTCTCAAAACACCATTCTCTTCAGTGTGTACAGACATGTACCTACATGTGAGTGAGAGTGATATTTGAGTGAGCGAGAAGGGGGCATTTTGCTTTCTCTCTGGGAGCTCTTTTATTAATTCTGTGGCAGAGGAGTTGCCACCAAGATATTTATCTTGTCCTAGCATCACCCCACTTGTGCAGGGTAGACTTACCTTCTTGTCCTCTGTCCCAGGAGTAAGGTCTCAGTCTTTCTGCCTATTGGGACTAAATTTGTAGACAACGAAGTTACACTACTTCTAACAAGCCACCTTCAGACTGACATTATCTCCTGTATAGGCACTCTACTCTACCAAGGGATCTCCTATAGTTGTGACAATGTGTAAATAGGACAGAAAGAGCAAAAGTAATAACTGCAGAAACAGGAAACCTCACTACAGTTAACATGAAGATAGTCAATATAAACTTGCCTGAAACTTGGATGAAACTGCTAGAGGTATATCCTGGCGAATCCATCGTTCACCCTGATTGCCTGAACGTGTGAATATCAGATTCAGAGTTCCATTCACTGCGGTCCTTGTGTAGACATTTAATGTTCCCATGCTGTAGCCATACATGTAGTAAAATAGCCTCAACTGAAAATAGTCAGTTCAATAATCATCAATAAAAGATTTGTCATACAGAATGCTTTCTTCTGATTCCATGTGGCATTAGTAGTCATGTCTTATCCGCAACTTTCAATCAATTCTGTCACAAATGACCTTTCAAACAATTATGTAAAATGGTCCAGCAACTTCTCTCTTGATCTCCCTCTGCCCTTTCCCTCCCTCCAGCTTTTCCACCATCAGGATGTGCATCCATTTTCTCTTTCTCATCACATGACCAAAGTATGTAGACTGTTTTCTTCTGATGTGGGCGATCAGTTCCCATCATGAGTCAGTTATTTTCAAGACAACTTCATTATTCTTTTTATCTGAGCGTGGCATTTTAATCATTCATCTATAAAACCATATCTCCCCCACTTCCAGATAATTTTGCACTAATCTGCTAACTGTCCATGATTCCTTCTCTATAATAGAATATGATTTATATACAAAATGCTTTACACTGTACAATTCAGTTTCACATCAACATATCATGTCAAATGTAGGTTTTAACCCACCAGTGTTGATTAACCTGATACCTTCTATTCCAGGTTGCACCCCTATGTCCACCAGTCTGGGTGATTTTTTTTTCAATATGCAGCTTGCGTCACATTAATGACAGCACTCTTTTGTATTGAGTGCTGGACCAATCCTGGTAATCATTTTGTCTGTCAGAAAATCTACACGCTCATTGCCTTGAACAACCGAACCACTGATTGGAAAAGTAACATCAAATCTAAAGAACAATTTATGTCAATTAACAAATAAACACTATCACTGCTACACTTGTACCAATGCTAATGGATAATAACACTGTAGAAAATGAACATTACCTGGCATGAGGTGCCTGTTGTCTGCATTATGATAGGACTGATTACTCTGGCTTTATCTCCTGTGTTTGTTGGAGCTGATGTTTCAATGTACATGTAGTGACCTAAGAATTTAACAGTTGAACATTTTCTGTCTGTTAATCCATTGGAATTTTTCTCAATATGGTAAAGATTGCAATAAACAATCTTGGAAAAGCATAATTAGATGCTAAGTACCCAATCATTGAATATATCAATCATTTACTCTATTCAATCATTGAAAAAAAAAACCATATGTAAAATAATATTCAGCATTTATACTGGATATAAATATATGAAATATCCCAAAACAAAAAAATGAAAAAGTAATTGGAAAAGCATAATTAGATCGTAAGTAACCATTTACTCTATTAAAGTCGGCTCTGTGGCTAAGTCAATGCGAATGCTTCGTAATGCCGGAATGCCAGGTTCAATCCCAGCTGCGGCCCATGTACCTTGCGTTAGTTTCAACAGTGGTATCAAGAAAGCTGACCGACCAGAAAGCAATGGCAACCTACTGGGGGTAAATTTGCCTAGAAAAACTACACAACAGCCAGGGGCTGTTGGGGTTGGTTCTGCAGCGTCCTGAAAAGGATACACAACTTACCTAACTCTATTAAAACATTTAAAAAATCTAAATAAAAACATGTAAATTCTTATTTAGCATTTATGCTGGATTAAAAAAAAAAATAATAATTTTTCCAAAACAAGGTTTTTTCTTTGCAAAATTAAAAAATCAGGACATAAACAATATATTACATAATTCAGTGCCTGCCATTTTTTGCCATATTTGGTCAGGTGCATCAATGCAGAGTTTCTTTCATCCTGTGCTGTACTGCTAAACAAAAGCTGTCATATTCTATCATACCATGTGATCATCAGAATCATAGATCATGTCAATGTTTTTGTCTCACCCCATCCATGTGGTCAAACCATCCAGGTATTTATCCCTTTGCCTTCCTCTTGCTCTCTTTCTGTGAAGCCATCCAGGCATTTATCCCTTTGCCTTCCTCTTGCTCTCTTTCTGTCAATCTTACCAGTTGTTCAAGTGCATTTATTCACACAATATGTCTAAAAAACACTTAGTTTGTTGGGATATCATTATTGCACTCCAGACATGCCCACGGGCGTTCAGATCCTCCCCTCAGTGTGAACCCCAGCATCCGACAGCTAATAGTACCAGTTCTATGTTGTTTAACAAGTCCTCTGATGTGTCTAGTGTCTACAACTGAGGATTCCCCCCCCCCCCCCCCCCAAACATGACTAGGAATGCCTGAAAAAAGTGTCTGCTTTTTCTAGTTTATGACAATTGTCTACCATGTTTAATTATTACAATAGTGAGGGTATATTATTGGTCACCCCAATAGTGCCCACATGCTGGGGAAGGCACCAACTACATAACGTCTATCAGCCAGGTGTTGTCCCTGTATGGCCTGAATGCCTTTGTTGATGACTGTGACCCACAGCCATTTCATTCTTTGGTACAAAGTAAACACCTAGAACTTGGAGTGATTACTGACTCCCTACATGTTGACACATGTTCTACCTTTCCTCTGAGTGTAGAGTGTTAGCCACAAGTCAGAGGAGATGAGACAGCACATTGAGAGAGTGTTCAAGCAGGTCAAAAGATTGTGAAGTGAGGTTCCATGTCAGTCAATATTCAATACAAATATGGCGCCTGACTGACAGATACAACAAAAATGAAAACTGTTCAGAATGTGCATGTTGCCTGATAGACAAATGAAAAAAAAAAAAAGATAGAAAGAAAGAAAAACAAACAGATAGTGTATGCAAAAAGAAAAAAGGACAATTGTGTTGAAAAACATTTTTAAAATACCATTGATTGTTCCTCGAGTGTGATCTCTAGTTGGTCCAGTGTCTGTGGAACTAGTTTCTCCTTGAATTCTGATCCAATCAAAATCATCTGTATTATCTTGACTCCACTGACCAAAACTGTACTCAAAGTCTGTCCTGAGTGGGTAGTTCTCTGTTTAGAGATAGAAACACAAAATTCACTTTTTAGGATAGGTAATAGTTAGTCCGCTCCATGCAATGGCGAAGGATAGAATGACTTGGCATGAGTTGATTGAGGGCCTATGCTCCATTGGGGGATAGAAAGGCAGAAGAAGAAGAAGAATAGTTAGTCCTGGAACAGACATTCAGTTTTCACTTAATGTTGGTACTACAATCATAGTATCTTTACTCAAATGGCTAGCTTTCATAGAGCATTGGTTTGCCTGTCCTACACTTTATAAATAAAATACCCTGACATCTAGCTGACACTAAGAAAAAGTACTTCTTTCATAGCTAGTCAATTATGTCAAAAAAGAAGGAGTTGAGTTGAGTCAAGAATTGACATCACAGCACTCGGGGCATTCCCATGTGTGCTCCGTCCTCATCTTCAGTAGCCAGCACAGAGTTCCAATACTGATGGTACCGATTCTGGGACAATAATACAATCTGGTTATCTGCCTTTCCTCTGAGTTTAGTGAGCTTACAGACCCTCTGGTTGCACCCAGGTGCCTCATTCCCTCCAGACCAAAATAATCTTCTTTCTCTACTGATTTCGTTGATTGTTCCCAAAGGGCCTTGACCACATCTGCCTTGTCATGTATTAAAAAAAAAAGAAGGAGAAAACTGATGGCAAAGAAGGACAGTAATGTTAAGTTAAAGTCAGATAAACAGTAACTCTAACTGTTAAAGCTATTATGAACAGTAACTCTAACTGTTAAAGCCATTATGAACAGTAACTCTAACTGTTAAAGCCATTATGAACAGTAACTCTAACTATTAAAGCCACCTTTGCTGCGTAAAGTATTACTTTTTATGTTGATGTCAGACAGGAAAGATAAGAATTATTCCTAAATGTGTAATAAAAGTCAGTGGTGTTATTTTGGGACAAGTACAGAAATTTAAGTATCTGGGCACATGGATAATAACATCAGATGGAAGATGCATTACTGAGATAAGAAACAGAATAAGATAGGTAAAATCTGCATTTTATAAAATGAACATCCTATGCATATATCTCTGCCATTGAAGGTTAGAAAAAGAATTCTTGATTGCTACATACTTCCAGTTTTAACTTATGGCTGTGAGTACTGGACAGTGGTAGGCAGGCAAAACAATTTCTTGAGACCTCAGAGATGTGGTTTTATAGAAGATTGCTTAAAATACCTTTGACAGCCAAAAAGAGCTACCAAGAGGTTTTGAAAGAGGCAGGAGCCCGAAGACAACTTATCACAGACATCAGAAGGAGACAGTTAACATTTTTTGGCCATGTTATGAGAAGAGGGAAAATGGAACATGTTGTGACCACTGGAAAGATCTGTGGAAGGAGGGATAGAGGAAGACAACGAAAGAAGATTCTTGACAGTCTTGTTGCATGGTATGAAGGTGTGTCAGCATACGAACTGACACATGCTGCAGATCACTGATTGTGGAGAGGCATGATCACCTACGCCAGTCGGCAAAGCACCTGATGATGAAGTGAGACAGGGCAGTCTATAGCCTGGAGATTTAGGGCCATTCAGTTAGGTCAATTGCCATGAACTGTGCAGGTTAAAATGTTTATTTTTGCCATCACAATAAAGAAAACATAAATAACTTTTATCACCTTATCCAGGATTAGAAACTAAACCTCCTGCATGTACTAACAACTTGTCTAGCCCTCCTGAAATGTCACTTTAGAAAACTAATAAAATGACCAAATAAAAATCTGTGTGTGACTGGGAAATGTGAACAAAGGAAGCCATTTTCTTCTTAATGTGCTCTTTTACCACTTTGGATCTCAAGGTAGATATAAGGTTTTGCTTCTTACTTTTCTGGCCGCCTCATACATAGACACATCCTGTTATTGTAGTTTCTCCAATGTTCTTTCCATCTTTTTCTTGGCCTACTTTGTGCTCTACAGCCTTCTCCTCTTTGGTGTATGTCTTGTATGGTGTGGCATCAACAAGGCATTCTGTCTCTAAGTGGGCAAATATTTGATTTAGAATTGGTTCTGTATCAACTTGGTCTCATTTCTGCCATCATCCTCATTATCAGGTGCCTTGCCGACTGGCATGGGTGATCATGCCTCTCCACAATCTGCCATCTCCTGCAGCATGTATCAGTTCGTGTGCTGACACACCTCCATGCCATGAAACAAGACTATCAAGAATCTTCTCAGTTGTCTTCCTCTATCAATCCTTCCACATATCTTTCCAGTGGTCACAGCATGTTCCATTTTCCCGCTTCTCATAACATGGCTGAAAAATTATAACTATCTCCTACTGATGTCTGTGATAAGTTGTTTTTGGGTTCCCGCCTCTTTCAAAACCTCTTGGTGGCTCTTTTGGCTGTCCAAGGTATTTTAACCATTCTTCTTTCAAACCACACCTCTGAGGCCATACTTACTGCAGTTGGCTTCATCACTGCCATCTCCACAGTCATCCACAAAATCGCAGACTGTGTTCTTGCTGACACATGACTTGCGTGTACATCTGAACTGATTGGCTGGACAAGATGTTTGGACAGCTGAAAACAAGAATTAAACATAATTAGAAATTGTTGAATTCAGTGAAATAATCTTGGAAAATTTAATATCAACATGTTGTTCGACATTTAGGCTGATTTTGCAACATTCTAATCATATATTAAACTGACATTTGTCATCTGTTTGTTCCTCAGTTGCATTTATCCTCAATGATAGGTCTATGTAGATTCACACAATTGTGATTTTCTCAGTAGATCATCTATTCATTGTTTTTTTAATTATGAAAAATTAGTACTATATTAACTCTTTAAGTCCCCATGAACGTATCATACGTTGATATGCTCCTACACAGAAGCCCAATGAATGCAAGATGTGTCAGTTGTACATTTTACATCTCTCTGATGCTTAACCCCTTGCGGGATTCCAAGAGTTAATCTAAAATTTATGAGAGAAGCAAAAATGTCAAAACAACTTAAACATCAGCAAATGGCAGTAATATTTTGGTCCAGTTGAAAAGAAAATACTGAACAATGCTGAGATGGCTGAAACAGTTTATGGAATGGTATTTTTTCACAGTCAATCATCATGTCATGACAAGCTGTTGGAGATCACATGATGCGGAACAGCCAATTATGTGTGGTGTGCTGTTTGGGATAGAACCAATCAACTCAAACATCATGAAATCATATAAAGCACAAAAAACATTCTTGGCAAAGAAATTAGGGCACTACATAATTCTTTCAGTAGCTGATATGTATTGCTTTAACTTATTACATTCTAAACATTTGTTTGTAAAGTAATACTTGTATATGTCTGAATGGGTTACAATTTTAAAATGAAAGACATAATGAGGTACAGTTTTTACTTCTACATTCTTATACAGTTAATACATGAGCTATGAGATATTGCATAACTAAACATAATTGTTTAACATAAATATACATTACTGAATTAGAACAAAAGCTTTATATATCCCAATTATAACCCAGATGGGTTGAACAGGATATTGTTGTTTAAGTTACTGTTACAGTAAACTCACAGTGAAGTGCTTGGTACTAAAAGAGTTAGTTGAATAGTCTTCAAAAATACTGGACTATTGTCATGCGCTTCAAAGATTTTTAAAAAAAAAGATCTCTAATTTTGTTTCTGTATAATAAAAATACAGGCTATCTGTATCCCAGATAGTGGTATGCCATATGGGAGGAAAAGAGAATAGGCCCATAGTCCCCTTACAAACTTTTCATAAAAGATCAGACTTTATGAGGCTGAAATGTAAATCACATTACAATGTGGCAACTGCACTTTTAAGGACAAAGAAAGAAAGAAGAAGAAGATAAAGATGAAGATAAAGAATAAGAAGAAGAAAAAGAAGAGGAGGGAGGAGGAGAATAATAATAATAATAATAAATAGGCATATTATCATGTACAAAAATTCAGAGAGTATGTGTATGTGCTGTCTATCTTACGTGGATAATTGCAGTTGATAAAGCTGATATCGTCTATGGCAACAGATCCTGCCATACTGAACACTCTACTTGCTCTAAACAACACCTAAAAATAAATGTAAAATACAAGAAGAAGGTCACTGCATATATAACAAACACTGATATAACATCAATACTGCCAACGTATGTCAAAATCTAAAAAAATTTTCTCCATTCAGATTTTAATAACAAACTTGCATAAAAGGAAGGGAACAGAGAACATGGGGAAACGCTCTGAGTGCTGTGTTGCCAGCTCCTGTTTTATTCATTTTCTGTGATGGATGAAACAATCCACATTCTCCCCTCTGCTCCTGTATTATTCATTTTCTGTGATGGATGAAACAATCCACATTCTCCCCTCTGCTCCTGTATTATTCATTTTCTGTGATGGATGAAACAATCCACATTCTCCTCTCTGCTCCTGTATTATTCATTTTCTGTGATGGATGAAACAATCCACATTCTCCCCTCTGCTCCTGTATTATTCATTTTCTGTGATGGATGAAACAATCCACATTCTCCCCTCTGCTCCTTAATCAGATATTGTAAAATTAGACTAATTAAAGAATGTGCTAAAAGGGGATATGTTGGGCTGAAAGGTCAGATATCACAGCCAAGCTGTAAATCAACAGGCTGTGCCAACCACCCTTTTAAAAGTAAATGTAGAATAAGAAGAAGCAGACAATGTATATGTAAAAAAGACAGCATTCTTAATTTGATCATCCTATATTATTTTCTGACTTCATGAGTGTCAGTAGTTAGAACATTCACAATGGACTGGCCGGTTCTGAACTACTCGGTGGTGAACTGATGTGTGACAAGCAAGACATTATAGGGCCCTTTGGGAGCGAGCAAAAAGTGCGGAGGCACAGACCAATCATTACGGCTTGAGGAAAATGGCGCTGGGAGGAGTTACTAGGGAATCTGGTCGATGCTCAAAACTTAAGGGAAAGGCAAGATGGACATACAATTGGACAGTTACAGATGCCATCGGAATTTGAACTCTTTCGCATGCACCTTATGGTGGGGACAGAGCACTTATGGAAGTTTCCCAAGTGCTGTGATGTCGATTTTTAATTCAACATTCAACAGCAATGGACACGGAAGAATTTCAAAAATTACAACTGCTAGTTAACATACAATAGCAGCTGAAACAATATTTTCAAGGATACCTGAGGTTGAGCTTGAAGTGTTGTTCCAACAAGAAAGGACATTGCAGGTGACAAATCTGAAGTTTTTGCAGAGTATTTCTGTAACTGCTTGCTACTTGTTATCTGTATCAACATCTCAGACCATCGGTTAAAGCCATTCATGCTTCATCCTCCGATGCAGTAGCCATCTCAGTGATTCTATGCTCAACGTACCCAGTAGGAGTTGATATTTTACAATAATGATCACCATCTACATTTGATGCTAAAGGAGAAGGAGCATCTATAGGTTTGCCCAGAGTGCAGTGGTGATTCTCACAACCATGGCGTTCTTCTAGGAAAAAAAAAGGGTGAGTGCTCAAATTGTCTTTAAAACAAAAAGTGCCGGCACTCTCTATCAAGTATTTACAGCAATAGCGCTGAAATAATATTATGCCTAAAATGAAAGGTGCCAGTACTGCTTACTATTGTGTAATGCCAGGAAAAATGCTTTGTTTATAACCAAGAACAAAGAAGAGAAGGAATACTGACATCCTGAAAGATCTGAGCATCAAGGAAGATTAGCTAATAAACAGCATCCTGTCTCGGAAGCTGTAATATTTTGGTCATATCAAGGAACACGACGGATTAAAAAAATAATAGCAAAAGGCTTGGTACCAGGAAGTAGGGGCAGGGGCCGACCGACACGAAGATGGGCACAGGATATCAGTGACTCCTTGAGTATGAAAGTACATGAGGCAGGAGAGCTGGCGAGTGACCAAGTTTTTTTTTTTTAAGTAGACCGTGATGAGAGCAACGTTCTGCAAAGGACTTGCTACATGAGGATGATATAGCCAAGAACAACAGTGCATTTTATGAAACATTAAGCAAATACATAAAACATAAAAAATGTACCTTAAACGGCACAGCCACATGACCTAGGTCTACAGTTGCCTTAATCCAGTTGTCACCCATACTGTGGTCATTCTCAAAGACAATAGTATCTTCTTGAGACTCCCTGACAATGACGTAGAGAAGACCAATACCTGAGGATGTCAAAGTTCTGTAGTAAATGTTTCTGATGACATTTCAGGATGCAGAAATAATTTTTACTGACAAATAACACCTGTCTCTTAGTGGATTTTTCTCATTTGGTCCAAGATGGCGGGACGTGTTTCCCTCTAACTTGGTGTAAGACTGTTGATCGACCATCATTTGACATCCATTGTTTTAGAATCAGATTTATAGCTCTAAATCTTATGAATAAGAAAGTGCTACTGGAATTACGTCAGCCAGGCACTCAGAATGGATGAGACAAGACTTCCAATCAAGTCCTCATATGGACACCGGAAGGGAAAAGAATACGAGGAAAACCAAGAGAGACTCTGCATAGAACCATTATCAGGAAAGGCTAAAACATGGGCCTAATGAAGATCCAAGACTTAAAACTGGTGGCAACGAACCACCAGACATGGAGAGCTATGATTTCTGCCCTATGCACCACCACCCTATGCTCAAGAGGAAAGACTTACTAACAATTATTGGGGCAGTCTCAAAAAGCACACAGTAACCGCACACCCTAGCTGGCATGTCATAACTAAGGGTAGCATTAGGCTTAGGATTGGCTTTCTTGTCCTATAAAAATAATAAAGGTCCCTTTTCCAAGCCTTTAGGGGTACTGAAGATTTAGAACTAGATCTATATTTTTAAAGACCAATCAGCACTTGGTGGGTGATGTGGTCAGTATCACACTGGCCGCCTTTACTTCCCAGGACTGCACCTGGTACCCACTCAAGGCTGGGTCAACCTGGCAGTCAAGGTCAAAAATGAAAAAAGGCTTGGTCAGGATGCGAACCCATACCCTTTCGATCCACAGGCGGGTGTCAAGCCGCCAACACCACGGTGACTCCTATAAAAATAATAGCCATAAAAACTAACTCAGCATGGAACAGTATAAAAGAGCAAGTAATATCCAGCCAAATGGGTGAGAGGAGTGTTTTAATAGAAGGATAATCACATGGAGTGAAGAAAATTTAAATGAGTCTGGATAACGGACACACCTAAAACATAGAGAAAGGAGCTAGAGAGATGGGGAAGACATGGGGTGAGCTGCATGCAACAGCAAAGTATAAAATAGCTTGGTGTGGGTTGACTAAGAGCCTATGCTCCAATGGGGAATAAGTGCCAGAAGAAGTACTGAGAAATAAGAATCAGTCAATAAACAAACATTCACTAGTCTTCTCAAATCATATCCAAAAATGCTGACTGTCTACTTCTGATAAATTATATTTTTAGTTCACCTCTTTGAAAACATCTAGCTTACTTCCTTGTGTGGGTTCCAGGACCCCATTGTGGGGCAAACAAAAACAGACCCACTGCCTCCCCAACAAGCATGTCGTAAGAGTCAACTAACTAGGAGGCATCCTTCAAAGTCGGAGTGCATCTGCCTGAGAGGTAAGAAACGAACAATCTGCATACAAAAAAGTCAGATCTGTAAAATGGATGTGCACACAACACTCAGATTCTGGAACCAGACTACAGTCCAGAGGTGGACGAAGAACCAGAATCTACTGCCGGAGTTTACAGCTGGTGAATGCGAAGAAGAAGAAGAAGATCTAGCTTACTCTTTACTCAACACCTAAACTGTATGACATTTGCTCTTTGAGATAGCTCATCTATAGGTATATACCAGTCCATTGATGATTCTAATAGCCAAGAACAACAGTATATATTTAAAACTTATAATAAATTTATAACATTAAAGCATAACACAGGTCCTTAGACTCAGCATCCAAACAGCAAATGAATTATAAAATCTTTAGTTTAAATAAATACCTGATTTTTTGGACCCATCAAAGATGCAAACAGTGGGGAATGGAGAGTGAAAAGCAACAACGAAGTTCATAATCTGTTTAAATCTCCATTGATCATGGGCATCAAGAGATCTAATAGACTGAAATGGGTGGGGCATATTGAGAGAATGTCAAATGACAGAGAAGTAAAAACTGTATACACAAGGAAGCTGCATGGTCGTAGACCACAAGGTAGACCAAGAAGACAATGGAGAGAATTATGTCCAGACAGATCAGCAAACACTTGGTGTCACTAACTGGAAAGAGAAGGCCAACCAGAGAGATGAGTGGAATTGGGTGATATCTGCAGCAATGAACCTCAAGGGCTGGGAATGCTGAAGAAAGAAGAAATACCTAATCTGACTGGAAATGGGACATGTAGCCATTGTATCACTGGAGAATATACTCGATTTGTAAACTTATTCCAGTCAGTGTTATATTTGTCCTAGTTGTCAATGTTGATGTGCAGAAAGATCTTTGTATATAGAGAAAGGAAATAGACAAATATCAACACATGACAAGACCGACACAGTGGATAGTGAGCAGAGTGTCATGATGACACTCAGTGCATAGGGAAAAGATCAATAAACTTTCAGTATTTATTAATCATAATCATTAAATTAATTAGAATAAATCAGGGAACATCTCATCCTTTCACAGTGACATCTGGAGTAAGAAAGGGGTGTGTCTTATCACCACTGCTGTTTATCACCTACATCGACAGTATATGCAAGAATGCCAAGCCCATAAATGAAGATCTTAGTAAGATCAACGAATTACTCTTTGCAGATGACCAGGCCTTGATAGCAAATACAGACATGAAATTGCAACAACATCTAACATCCATGAATGAAGAATGTAAAACAAATAATATGAGAATCAACACTGAAAAGACAGAAGTAATGTCAATAGGAAAAAAGAAGACAGATCTAAACATAGCAATAGAATATAAAGGCATTAAACAGGCATCTGAGCTTAAATATCTGGGAACTACATTTACCAAAGATGGGAAATTGGATAAAGAAATTAACATTAGATGCAGTAAAGCAAACCAAGTATTGGGACAGCTAGCCCCCCTCTTACAGCATAAGACAATCCCAATCAGCACAAAGAGACATCTTATTCAAAGCATATTTATTCCAACTCTGTGCTACCAGTGCCAGACATGGTCACTCACAACAAACCATAAAAGAACATTAGTAACCATGGAAATGAGATGTCTGAGAAGGGCTGTATGAGTGACCATAAGAGATAAGATCAGGAATGAGATCATAAGAGAACAAGCCGGCACAGAACCAATTCTGGATTACATACAAAGACAGCAAGTGAAATGGTTTGCCCACTTAGAGAGAATGCCTTGTGACACAATACCATACAAAGCATACATGGAAAGAGAAGAAGGACGTAGAGCACGGGGTAGACCAAGAACAAGATGGAAGGATAACATCAGAGAAACTCTACAACAGCACGATGTGCCTATGGTCGAGGCAGCCAGAAGAGCTAGAAACAGAACCTTATATCTCCCTCGACACCCACAATGGTAAAAGAGGAAGTGAAGAAGAAGAAGAAGATTTATTGACTATTGAAGAAATTAACAGAACGCATATGGAAATGTCAAGAGTGTAATAATACTTGGCTCATGCATTCACTGACTCATTCATTCACTGACTCATTCTTTCACCTTCTCATCTTGCACTGACTCATTCATTCCCTGACTCATTCATTCACCAACTCATCTTTCACTGACTCATTCAACTGCCTATGTTATATTACCATATCCTCTCATGTAGTAGTAAAACTCAATCTGGCAAGTGGATGGGGATGGACCGAAGCTAAAGTCAGTGATGACGTCTGCCATGTCCTCCAATGAGCCTCCTGATGTCGCCACATACAGGTAATAACCTAAGGAAAAAAAAAACACACAATACAGTAAACTTGAAGGGTTCATCTGGGTGAAGATTTGACATCACAGCTTCAAGGACACGCCCACATTAGCTCCATTTTCCTCTTCACAGCCATCTTCCTTCCTCTTTGCCAGCAAATGATGGCACCTGTTATAGTCAGGTAAACTACTCCTTTACCTTTTCATTGAGTCTCCAGTGGTACCCAGAGCCTGCAGACACTCCCCCTACATCAGTCTCTTCAGGCTTTTCATACCTTCCCTTTTACTTGTTACCTCCTTCCACAGGTGAGAGATCACCTCTGCCTTGTGCAGTTGCAGTACACCCTCAAGTGGACCCATTCCAGCCAGCTTATCCATCTGCTCATTTCCTACATGGCCTAGGCAAAATATCCATGTGACTATTACCTGTGATCTATTGACACCAGCAACCCATTCTACATGAATAAACCTGACCACCTTCATGAGCATGTTTTGCAAATCAAAAACTATATTTTATGTGGTTGAGATTTTCACCACATATCAGAAAGCTGCAGTTTCCACCTCAACCTCCATTCCAAATAGCCTGATTAAAACAATGCAGTACAACATACAGATAAGGCACAGGGAGAACAAAATACAGATACAGATACTGCCTAGGGAAATCAGGAAAAGGTAAATAATACTTTAGAAATACAGTACAGTACAACATTTAGATAATGCATAGGGAAAGTAATACAGGCAACTGTAGAGGTAATGCCCAGGGAAAACAATAAGTACAACAATAAGTACAACATAAGGATAATGTGTGAGGAAAACAATATAATAAAACACAAAGATAATGCCAGTGGGAAAACAATGTAATAAAATACAAAGATAATGTGTAAGGAAAACAATATAATAAAACACAAAGATAATGCCAGTGGAAAAACAATGTAATAAAACACAAAGATAATGCCAGTGGGAAAACAACATAATAAAACACAAAGATAATGCCTATTGAAAAACAAAACAATACAGTGGACAGAAAATGTCTAGGAAAAAATAACACAGTAAAATGAGTAGAAAACACTCAGGGAAAACAATACAGTACACAATATAGATGATGCCTAGGGAAAACAATATAATACAAGATAATAGCCTAAAAAAAAAAACCATACATTTCAAGTTTAGATATACAAAATACTCAAATTTAAATAAAAAATAAAAAAATTAACAAAAGTAAATACTTAAATTTTTAAATAGACATTGACTATGCAGCAACAGAACAAAATAAAACAGTTGTATCTTGACTAAATAAAGTGTAAATCTTAAAATGCATTTAATATGTTTAAAAGTTCTCCTTTTTATTTGCTTATGTGCCAAGTAGGTTGTAACCAGATACAGTGTGGGTTGGATCTTGCAAGGTTTCTATGGAAAAAAGTAGCCAGTTTCAAGCTGATCTCCTTTGTGGCTTCAGAATGGTGCAAAAGCAGCAGACAATGAATGTCTGCTATGAGACACACAAAAACACTACCCAAAAAAAAAGCGAAGTAACAACTGACAGTAGGTTAATGTTATAGTAGAGACAGCATATAAAGCTAACAATAACATATTCTGTAAGTTAAAGTTATAGTCTCGGAACAAGACCTAAGTCCAGACATTGTCTTTCCCCTAGACTTTACAGCTAGTGTACACAAAGAAGAAGAACAATAAATATACTGCCAGTTTCTAGGTACTGGCTGAGCTGATATTTCCACATCAAAGTATCTTCTTCAACATTCCGAGCCCTTGAGGCTCATTGCTGTAGATATCCCTTAACTCCATTCATCTTTCTGGTTGGCCTTCTCTTTCCAGTTGGTGACACCAAGTGTTTACAGGTCTGTCTGGACATTCTCTCTCAATCGTCTTCTTGGTCTCCTTTGTGGTCTACAACCATTCATCTCCCTTGTGTATACAGTTTTTCACTCCACATCAAAGTATAGGGGAACAGAGAATTAGTTACTCTTACCATCTGGTTGGTTCAAATGATCATACGGGGGTCCTGTGTTTGATGTGAGACTTCCATTACGTCCCCTGTTCCACTGAAACTCTCCACTGCTGATGTCCATGTACCTACACCAGTCATACTCAAAACTGCAGTCACCTTTAGTCAGAATCAATAAAAATAATCAGAAGGTGATATTGACAGTTATATGGCTTATCTATAATATATGCACAGCGACTTCTCTATACTATATGTACAGAAAAATATTGTACTGTTTTATCTTTCGTTAGTTCTCACTAGTTAATTCACGCTAGCATATGTGTGCAAACATGCATATCATTATCATTATCAGGTGCCTTGCAGACTGGCTTGGGCGATCATGCCTCTCCACAATCTGCGATCTCCTGCAGTATGTATCAGTTTGTGTGCTGAAACACCTCCATGCCATACAACAAGACTGTCAAGAATCTTCTTTCATTGTCTTCCTTTATCCCTCCTTCTACAGATCTTTCCAGTGGTCATAACATGTTCCATTTTCCCTCTTCTCATAACATGGCATGCATATACACAACTGAAATATAATTTCTCAGGGGCTAAAACTGCAAAAATGGGGATTCTCACAGGTCAGAAGCCTGAGCTCCAGCGTAGAAAGATCATTAATGCAATTAACTGGCAATGATCCATGGGTCACTTGCTAGGTCTCTGCATGCCAGATGTGGCCTTCGAGCCACCAGTTGAATAGAAGTGATGTAAAGTATCAGCATTTTTCTTCGCCATGATATACAGTATTCTTCTTCGCTTTGTTTAACTCATAGTCCATGCAATTTGGCCTTGGTTACCATGTATGTCCATATGTTCTTCCATGTCTGTCTGTCTTACATCTTCTCTATTGGTCTCCTTCTACCTTTCTTCCCCTCCAAATTTCCTGTTGGAATGGCTTACTTCAATTTTCCCATTTTCATCATTTATTCTTATATTAGCTACCCCATTTTCATCATTTATTCTTTTATACTACCTACCCCATGTTCACCATTTATTCTTATACTAGCTACCCCATTGTCACCATTTATTCTTATACTACCTACCCCATGTTCACCATTTATTCTTATACTACCTACCCCATGTTCACCATTTATTCTTATACTAGCTACCCCATTGTCACCATTTATTCTTATACTACCTACCCCATGTTCACCATTTATTCTTATACTACCTACCCCATGTTCACCATTTATTCTTATACTAGCTACCCCATTGTCACCATTTATTCTTATACTGCCTACCCCATTTTCACCATTTTTGCTTATACTACCTACCCCATTTCACCATTTATTCTTATACTACCTACCCCATTTTCACCAGTTATTCTGATACTATCTACCCCATTTTCATCATGTATTCTTTTACTACCTACCCCATTTTCAACATTTATTCTTCTACTATCTACCCCATTTTCAGCATGTATTCTTCTTCTAGCTATCCCATTTTCACCATTTATTCTTACATAAGCTACTCCATTTTCATCCTTTATTCTTATACTACCTATGCCATTTTCATCATTTATTCTTATACTACCTATGCCATTTTCATCATTTATTCTTACACTAGCTACCTCATTTTTGCCATTTATTCTTATTCTAACTACCAGATTTTCACAATCTGTTCTTACTTCAGTTTCTCTTTTTACAATATATTCTTCACAAGGGATTCTAAGAGTTATAATACTACAGCAAACAGCAAAATGTAATGTGACTGTAGAACGTACCACAATTACTCTCATCAGCAGCAGTTTCCCCACAGTCTCTGGCAAAATCACAGACTTTTGAAGAGCTGATTGTCTGGTTCTTTGTTCCTCCACAGTTGAATGTTCCAGTAACCATCACTGAAATATCCATTACAACAAAATAACGGACCTTTTATTATGCACTAAAACTAAACTAAGCCATTGTTTTCTCCCCCATCTGTGTCTCCTATAGCAGTGGTTCTCAACCTGTAGGTCAGGACTCTTCAGGGGGTCACTCAAGACCACCGGAAAACATATATTCTCTGAAGTTATGAAAATAATTTATGGCTGGGGGTTACCATAAAACGAAGTATTGTGACATTTGGAAGGTTGAGAACTACTGTCCTATTGGAAGACAGATCCTCATCCAGGTCACACAAGTTGTCCCGTCTGTTGCCATCTACTGCAACCCTCACTTTATGTCCACTTATTAACTCATTAAGTCCCAAGGAATGCATCACGTGCGATTGAGGAGACAACACTGAATCAGCAGCACTCAAAAGACTACAATAACTTCAGGTCAAAAGAGGTGTCACCAAACATGAAAACTATACAAGTATTGCCCCTTTACATCAAGCAACACATTTCGTGTTATTTCTTTTATGTTTCGTCTGGGCATAGTATATACATCTAACTTGATGTTTTGTTATAACACATAATATATATATTACCTTTTGAAATTATTGCTATGCTTTTTTCATCATGGTTGTTTCAACCATTTAACATCTACTATGAAATCACCTGGAGTGAAAGAGTATATCATATCTGCCTCTACATTTTCTTCTTCGTGTGTGTGTGTGTGTGATTTTTTTTAAATCTTCTTATCTCTTCTCTTGGTGTCTATGGCTTAGGTACTGCAAAAATGCTTCATAATTCTGGAATTCCTGGTTCAATTTCAGCTGCAGGCAATTTGGCAACAGTTTTGCTCTGATTTTGATGCTGGTATGGATTATACACCATACAGAAAGCTTCTTCTACTTCTTCTTTGCATTCACTAGCTGTAATCTCTAGCAGAAAGTTCTGGGTGTATGTACCCTATGGAAATCTTGTTCCAGATCCTAAGTGTTGCATGCACATCCCTTTTACAGACCTGACTTGTTTGTAGGTGGACTGTTGGTGCCTTGCCTCTTAGGCAGATGCACTTCAATTTCAAAGGAAGCCACCAATCAGTCGACCCACTACATGCTTGTTAGGGAGGCAGTCTATTCTTGCTACCATAATGGGGCCTCAGTACCCACACTTAACATACCTTAACATAACAGTTGACCCATTAGGGTCATTGAGGTGTATCAATGAAAGCACTGGCACACATAACCTGCCATCTTTCTCTGCTTGCTGAACAAGTGTATAACTTAGTCCTGTCCACTTCTCGATGTTGACAGTCCTGGTTTTTCTTCGCCCTCCTCTTCTCTGACTGCTCTCTAATGTTCCTTGAAGTACAGACTTTGCAATTGAATGACGTCTCACTATATGTTCAAACCAGGCTAGCCTGTGACGTTTAACAACCACCAAGAAAGGCTCCTGATGTTCTGCAAATTTGTTTATTTTGTCTCTGACACATTTGTTAATTTTATGTTTAAACTAACTAATTCATAAAATTAATCTATAGCATTTATATTCAAAAGCCTGAATCCTCTTTTCCATATGAGAGTCTATCTCCCAAATCTGTATAAGAAAGTAAACAATACTGGTGACTGACACACACAAGGAATTAGGATAGAAAATAGCAAAGTGTTTTATCCCATGTGGCTCAGTTTCTCTCAGCAGAATGGCTAGCCACCTGCAGATAGCACAGCACAAAGCACAAACTTCACAACCCCACTGATGATTTGCAGGAATCTCTATGAAAACTGAATCCTGAACTGACATGAAACACAGTCCATGAAATGAACCCACGCTTTTCATAGCGCTAGGTAAATGACTTGAGCAATTTGCCATGGAGACTCCCACTCACAGATAATTAAGCACACACAAAAATCACTCAGCAGAGCAGCAACAGTATACTTACAATCTTGACATGAACTAGCGGCAAAACTGAAGTCATCTAAGCCCATGCTAACTATCTTGGAGATTCCCACTGATCCAATGACAGCAATCTAGAGCAAATCATTATTTTTTTTTTTACATTAGTGAATAATATTCAGAGAAACAAACACATAGTTTCTTGATAAAGTTATCTGGATTAATTTGGATAAAAATTTGACATCACTGTATTCAGGACAAGCCCATACTAGCTCCATCTCCCTCCTTAACAGCCAGTGAAGAATTTCCATACTGATGGCACCTGTTGTGTCTCGTTAGCTACTCATCTCGATTTTCCCCAAGTCTCGAATAATAATATTACAATCAGAACATCTTAGTTCCCAGGTTGACCCAGCCTTGTGTGGGTACCAGGTATAATTCTGGGAATAAAGGCGGCTGGTGTGACTTTGACCACATCACCCCTGGAATGTCGATTGGTCTACAAAATATGGGTCTAGCAATATATGCCCAATATGCCTGAAGGCATACAAAAGATGCCTTTACTTTACTAACTTAATTTGTTATAGTTCTGTGGTTTTGTTATCTACAAACTCTTTATTTCATTGTTCATTACAGGGTCATCTTCATATGAAAATGAGGCATACACATAATTTATGCAATCCTCTATCAATCGTTTCTTAGCTAGTATCCTTTGGATATTCTCTCCAGGTCATGCCTGTGTGTTGGGAAATAAACAGGCAGATAGACTGGCCAGTTCTGCACAACTTGGTGGTGAATTGATGTATGACAAGCCAGACGTTGTGACTGCCCTCTAGGAGTGAGTGAACAGTGTGGAAGTACATCATTATAGTCTAAAGAGAATGGCGCTGAGAGCAGTTACCAGCGGATCTGGCCAACACTCAACACTCAAGGGAAGGGCAAGATGGATAAACAGACCGTTAGTTACTGGTGCCATCATAATTTGAACTCTTTATATGCTGCTGAAGATGGGGACGGAGTGCTTATGGGGGTGTCCGAAATGCTATGATGTCAATTCTTAATTCAACATTCAAAACTCAATAGTTTTTTAGTGTGTTTATGCTGATGATAACTCCAATTCTGCTGATGTTAACTCCAACTCTGCTGATGTTAACTCCAACTCTGCTGATGTTAACTCTAATTCTGCTGATGTTAACTCCAATTCTGCTGATGATAACTCCAATTCTGTATTAGCTAATGTAGCAACTAGATGCTTTTGCATGGTTTTCTAATCTTGCTGTTCTGATGGATTTACCTAGACATCGATTTTGATTCAATTGCAGTTCCAACTTCACAGCACATGGGTCCTCCCACAGTTTTTCCATTCCCATGCCAGCAAATACCACACAGAGTGCCAGACATTACCCATTGGGGGGGAAAAACAGCTGAAATAGTCTAGTCTTGGTGAAGCTGATAGTGTACGCATGCATTAAAGCTAGCTGACATTTTAGTGAATCTAAAATTTACAATATAAACCACGTGGGAAGAGTTAAAACAATAAATGTTACATGTTGAATATAAAATCTACATCATAGCACTCATGACATCCCAATAATGCTAAATATCCAGGATCTGTGAAGCGATGCTTGCCACTTTGCACAGTGCATACATGTCTCCATCTTTTGCTCTTTGAGTCAGTTACAGTCATGACAGGTGTATGCAGATGTTGGGTCAAATGCCAGGAACTGTCACACTAAGTGACATCTATTCGCTTTTGCTATGAACCCCCATGCACTTCTTCTGCCTGATTAGAAAGGATTATCATCACAGCACTCCGGACAGATCCATAGAGGCTCTGATCTCCTCCCCAAAAGCTCCACAAGTGTAAAACAACTGATGACGCCTGTTCTGTTTTAGTTAATGAAACGTCTTGTCCCCTTAATGAAATGTTCATTTCTTGCAGTTCTAGGCTGCACCCCCATGTCCATCAGTCTAGACAGGGATATGGAGTCATGTCTTTTGGCGTGTTCCTCGGTACGGTAGGTGCAGCACATGGTATTGATAACATCACTTCTGTAAAATATGTATGTATAGATAATCACATAACCTGGGCAGGAATTGTCATGAATCATTTACCCATAACTTCTCTCTCTAAACCCTCATGGTGTTTGACTGAGGTACTTTGATTTCCAAGAAGTTAAGTGATTTTGGTAATTTTGTTTAAAAAAAAAATTTAATTTTCTGTCACTCTCTGAATCCCAAGAAACACATCATATGTTCATAGGTTCTTACCTAGAAGCCCAGTGAGCACAAGATGAGCTGATTTTATATTTCTCTTGACTAACCCTTGGGTCTCTGATGCTAAACTCCATGGGACTCAAAGAGTTATAGAGAGGATAAATTCACTTTAGCTAATAATTACAAAGAGTAAATCTGTACTAACCTGGAAAGCTGCCGATGGTCTAGGAATATTAACAAAGGCCTGTTGCCATGTGTCGTTCTGGCTGCCATACAAACTGAACACTGTCTGTGGTTTCTGGCTGGCAAAGGTCTGAAAATAATTTGTTATAATGCTGTAGGTATTTAAACTAACAGAATGCAGGTTGACAAACACTTTTAACATAATTCAAGGAAAGAAACAACAAAACCTTGGCTACAAAATCACACAAATTCTTTTAGTCTTAGTCTTTTAGTCTCAGTCAAGGTTTCAACTTCACACAAATTATAAACAAGTCTAAAAGGTCCATACATGAGTTAGTTCAAGACCTCAAATACATGAAGATAAATGATAGTAGAAAACAGGTGAAGACACAACCCACATATTAGAATTTACACATACCATTGTAGTGACAGGGTACTACAGAGAGCAATGTTAAACAGACACAGCGGTAACAAAGCCAAAGGTGGATCAACCAGAAATGGACCTCGGAAATATTGAAGGAATTGAAAAGTACTATATACGAACAGAAGGGCCCATTGCAGAGATCATTTCCTGCTCTGACACTGTGAGGCATCTCAGGAGTAGAGAAAAGAAGAAGATTGTAGTGACATTCAAATAATGAATTCCAGTCATGTCTACCCGAAAAATAATAATCTAGAAGTCACTGCAGCTAGCTAGCAGAATCATCAAGGAGCTCGATAAAGACTTAGGCTCCATCTAAGAGTATACAGGACACAAGGAGAAAGTAGAAGAAACAAACCCACATATTAGAATATAAACATATCATCTGTAATGCAGTGGATTTCAGGTCACTGTGGCTTGGAAGGCAATGAAATAAGGGAAAGATTAGCCAGGAGCGGCTGGGACATGGTGCACTCAGATAGTGACTTAACCCATCAAGAGACTAAGACATTAATACTATCTAGTATCCAAGAAAGGTGGCTGGATACACATACTAAATTCTCTCCTCAAGATTCTCTTCATTGCCTCTCAAGAGATGCAGTGTATTATATTCAGATTAAGGACTGGGCACAACAGACTTCATTAACATATGTTCAAACTCTTCGGCGTTGAAAACACAAAGATGTGCCCCTGCAACTTGACACCCGAAAATCCTGAGCAAGTGCTCAAACACTGTCAACTGTATGCTGACAATCTGGCCTGTTCGACCACAATGAAGACAAAACTGTATAGTACACAAGAAGGTATAGACTGCACGACAGCTTTCATAAAAGCTACCGGTTTCTTGATATAAGTTTTTTGACAAAAGAATTGAAGAAGAATTGCACAAAAGTCATGCAGTTTTGAAACTTCCTACTTCACTCATATACTTGCTCGACTGAGAAGCTTGCATCACCATACTGGACTTCCAGTTTTAGATGAATTTCTGTAGGTTTTGCTCCTTCACTCTAGGGTGATGCTGACCACATTATCCACGAAGTACTGTTTGCTCTATAAAATATGGGTCTTTATACCCAATATGCCTGAAAGGTGTGGAAAAGAGTCCTTTACTTTAGTTCACTAGTTTACAAAAAAAAATTATAATAGATTGCTGCTCCTCTTTGGTGCTTGTGTAAAAGTGGTGTGGCTATCTTTAAACTGTCATTATGATGTCATCATGTTTGTTTGCACTGTGATGTCATATGCTCAACACTCTTGACATCCTTAACAATATTACCAAGTTACAAGACAGTGGTGCAGTTGCTGTCATTTCTATCACACTGTTCAGGTTTTCATTTAAAGCCTCCTCATGCCATTAAAATAACAAACAACTTCAGTCATGTAGTACCAGAAAATAAACTGAACAACTCACTGGAGCCAGACAGTAGAAATATTAAGGAGGTGACTGAGGGCTAAAGCTTATTTGGGAGTATACAGGATAGAAAAAGAAGCAAAACTATGTTCAACATACCCTTGTAGTGACGTTCAAATATCCAACACCTCCAATCATGTAGTACCAGAAAGAGAAACAGAAGAAGTCATTGGAGCCAGCCAGGGGAATTATCTGGGAGTCCAACTCAGCCACATCACCTTGCCTGCCTGTGCTGTCCAGGTAAATGTACTGGCCTGAAAAAAATAATGTAGACATGTACCACAACTTCTATGCATTCAACTCATTCTTTAATATAAGCTTAAGATCAAAATGACCACACGATCAGAACATGAACCTGAATTTAGTTGAGTTGAGTTGAGTCAAGAATTGACATTACAGCACTCAGGGCATTCTCATACATGCTCCGTCCCCATCTTCAGCAGCCAGCACAAAGTTCCAATACTAATGGTGCTGGTTGTAGTTTGGTTGTATATCCGTCTTGTCTTTCCTCTGAGCGTAGTGTGCCAGCCGAACCGTCTGGTCACATCCAGGTGCATCATTCTCTCCAGCCCATAATAATCTAGTTTCTCTTCCGACTTCATTACTTGTCCCTAAAGGGTTCTGACCACATCTGCCTTGTCAGTGCCTGAATTAAGAGAAAACAAAAATAGTGGCCACAGACAAAACTGCCTGTTGCCAGGCATATTTCGCTGTATCTCATCAGGTGCATTACTACAGAGTTACATCAACATAAAATAAAGCACAAAACTGAATAAATTCAACTGAAATGCGAATAGTTTCTTCGATACATTGTCTCTCTTTCATGGCCGCCAGAAGCTCACCGTAGTCACTGACTACCAGGGTAACTTCAAATGTACGATAAATTCCATCTGCTTACAAAGGAGGGGTTTTTGATTTTTTTTTGTTTTATTTTTTTTGCGTGCTTTATTTTATGTTGATGTAACTCTGTAGTAACGCACTTGATGAGATACAGCTAAATATGCCTGGCAATAAATTGTTTGTATCCGCATTATTTAAATTCATTGTTTTGAAAACTGCCTGTTACCTAAAGATAACAATAAAAATTGCAGTTGAAAATGTCACAAACTTTCAATATCTAGGCTCCATTTTTGGAGACAACAGAAGACAAAAGGAGGAGGCCACAGCAATACAAAGATAAAACAGCATTAAAAGTCTATGGTTAAGCACCAGCAGGAAAGTCAAAGACAAGATTTTGAGAGCATGCATTTTTTCCTGTAGTACCATTAAGAAGTTGCTACACAGAAAGATTATCAGAATACCATGGACCAAGAAGGAAAGAAATGCTGACATCTTAAAAGATCCAGAAAATCAAGTTAGATTAGCTAGTAAACAGCATCTTGTCTCAGATGATGTCATCGAATTGGAACTCTTTGCTTGCTGCTGAAGATGGGAATAAAGCGCTTATGGGAGTATCCCAAGTCCTGTGATGTCGATTTTTAATTCAACATTCAACATCTTGTCTCAGAAAGTGAACTATTTTGGACATATCAAGCACCACAGCAGACTAGACAGAATAACAGCATAAGGCATGGTACTGGGAAAGAGGTGCAGAGGCCAAACCAGTAAGAAGATGGACACAGGATTTGAGTGACACATAGAAAAGTGTATAAGGTAGGACAGCTGGTTAGTAACCAAGTATATTTCCGGGGTCCGTGATGACAGTGACATTCTGCAAAGGACCTGATAATATAAACAACTCATCAAATATGGTCGACAAGTGTACTAACTATTATGGCTCAAACATCAAGTATACTTCTTCTTCTTCAGCATTTTGAGCCCTTGAGGTTCCTTGCTGCAGATATCACCCATCTCCATTCATCTCTCTGGTTAGCCTTCTCTTTTCAGTTGGTGACACCTAGTGTTTGCAGGTCTGTCTGGACATTATCTCTCCTTATTTGTCTTGGTCTGCCTCATTGTCTAAGACTATTCATCCCCCTTGTGTATACAGTTTTTACTTCTCTGTCATCTGACATCTTTCATTGTGCCCCAACCATTTAAGACTATTAGCTCTCATGATACAAGTGATCAATGGTGATTTAAACAGATTATGAATTTCATTGTTGCTTCTCATTCTCCACTCACTGCGGTTTGCATCTTTGATAGGTCCAAAGATTCATAAGACTCTGTTTTCCAAAACCTGTAAGAAGGCATGATCTCTTTTAGTTGTGCTCCAAGTTTCAGAGCCATATAAAATGACTGGTCTTATCAACGTATCTTATCAACTAAGTATACTTAGTGTCAAAATTATAATGCATAACAAAGCAATTAAATATTGTGAATTAGACTCTACCTGCAATATTGTTAGTGGTGTGGTCTAAGAGAGGACCTTGGTAAGGAGCAGGGCCACTGATTAACATCCAATCAAAGTTATCTGTGGTATTTTGTGTCCAGGAGCAAAGATCTTTCTCAAAATCACAGCCAAATAAATTGATACAAGGATTATTGGACAGCTGAAATTGAAAGATAATACACAGTTATTTTTTTTGGTCTTTCAAACTAAACCAACCATTTATGTACATGCTGCAGACATTGTTTTTGCTTTACACTTTAATTCTTAAAAGTCATTTGGGTTCTGAGGCCCATAAATATTGTTATCATTCTAGGCATACACATTATTCCAGGTGTTAATTCCAGAATTTGTTCTGTCAAACCGAATGTCATTTTGAGTCTGCACGAGAGATGACCTCAGACTTAGAGGACACAAGTATCATTTCAGGACATGAGTAGAGAAAGGCAGGAAATGTAACAACTACAACGGGAGACGAAACCTTTCCAGACTATACAGTGGAGAGTGTATAAATGTGCAGGGGAGATGTATTATTTCTATATGAGTATGCTTGCTATATGTAAGAGACCTGAGCTTACATATGGGTATTTGTTTCATTTTTTCAGTTCCAACATGGGGCAGGGACTAGTCGGCATCCATTATTTGCAGACAGTCTGAGAGTAATGACCTGCTTGAAGCACTGAGGACGACAAACTGGAAAAGAGGCAGAGTCTCATCCTGAGAGCTGTACCAGATTTATAAGTTATGTAACGTTTACTGTTCATAGCACCATCCTCACTCTGCTAACATATGCACGTATTGAACTCATTGACTAACACATTACCATCACTGAGCTATTATTGCAAGATCAGTATAATTCAATTTATTTTGTTTAGAATATTGTAAAAATATTGTTCATGTTGTTATAAAGTAGGTAAATTGTGTTCTTAGGTTCAAGTGTCTTGGTGCATACTAGTTTACCTCAGCTCACTTATTTGTAAATCACTTGGTGGGGGCTTTTTTTTTTCATAAATTAATATTAGGAGAGGAGAAAGTCGGAGGGGTTAATTGTGTATCTTAATATTTTCTAATTGGATTCTTAGTATCCATCTGTACCTTTTCCTATCCCTGTGGATACAAGTACAGCTACTTTCTAGTTATTGTATGAGCCACGTTTGCTGTTTTCTTTGTTATCCAGGACTGTGGGATCAACATAGCTCAGATATTAGTCCAGTTCCTCACTGGGTGTGGTGTTGGGATAAAAACCGGACAATTGAGGCACTCACCGGGATAAACACCTGACAGAACATCGCTATAAATGGTAGTAACATAAACAGAGAGACTTCACTGAAAAATCTTAGCATAATTTTTGTTTACAGGAGCCTGTTGTTCAAGTACCAAGTGGAAGAGCTAGTGTTAAAAAAAAGGTCAGGACTAAATTCATTGAAGGTGATGTCATCAGCAGGCATGGAACAGTTCAGCCATTCCTGAGACACCATACTACTTGAAAAGAAATTCCAGAAAAATTTGACTAAAAAGCTCAACAAAATGGGGAAGCAGAAAAATGTGAACAAAACAACACAACGTAACGTTTCGGCCAGGCAGCCTTTTTCAAACATAAGTGAACTACACAAACTAGGAATGGAGAGTATGTGGCATACTCTCCATTCCTTGTTTGTGTAGTCCACGTTTTTCCCCATTTTATTGAGCTTTTTAGTCAAATTTTTCTGGAATTCCTTGTATAAGCTTGACTGCAGTCACCCCCATATTTTCACCATACTTGAAAAGAAAGCAACCGTATTACCTCTATGTCATCCAAGGCAATGTCCCCAAGGTAATCACTTCCAATCACGCCTTCAAACACAATCTGTGGAGGTGAATTGAGCAGACAAAATTTAGTGAAAGAATTACAGCAACAACTTTCAAAGCAATGTTTCCCTTTATAAATTTCAGCAAAGAAACTATGTAAAAGTGACATATAAACATATAAGTGTATGTGTGGAATTTATAAACAACACAAAAACATTTATTTATCTGTCCTGATAAGTAAAAAAGAACATGCATGTAAACATACCAGACAAATTAACTCAACACATAAACATATAAGTGTACGTGGAATATATAAACAACACATAAACATATAACTGTCCTGGAAAGTAAAACACAACACATGCCTGTAACCATACCAGACACATACACATATAAGTGTATGTGGAATATATAAGCAACACATAAACATATAAGTGTACGTGGAATATATAAACAACACATAAACATATAACTGTCCTGGAAAGTAAAACACAACACATGCCTGTAACCATACCAGACACATACACATATAAGTGTATGTGGAATATATAAGCAACACATAAACATATAAGTGTACATGGAATATAGAAACAACACATAAACATATAAGTGTATGTGGAATATATAAGCAACACATAAACATATAAGTGTACCTGGAAGGATGTCTCAGAGACCACATCCTGCTGAGACAACAACCACACATTCCCTGAGTTGCCAGTCATGTTGTTGATGAGTGTGTCAAAGCCCTTGTGGTCCCGGACGTAGACAAGAAGGCTGCCAATAGTCTCTCCATTCATGTTGTACCAGAACTTCAAACAGCGCCCATCTGTTGGTGGATTCACTGGGCTGATGATGCGGGCAATGTCTCCTTGTTGTCTCGGATAGGATGCCTCAGTGAAGATGTAGTGTCCTTTATTTACAACACACACACACAAAAAAACTGTCATTACTGTTTGTAACTTAACTATTTTTGAGAAGCAGGAGGAGCAGATGTATCACCAGTCTGGTGAGACAGATGCAGCGGGCAGGGACGAGAGTTTGGCAGATGTTGGAGGTTCAGATTAAAGGCAAGACGCAGATTTAATCAGAATGCTACTGGCACCATTAGTATTTGAACTCTTCACTGGCTGCTGAAGATGGGGATGGAGCACTTATGGGAATACTCTGAGTGCTGTGATGTTGGTTCTTGAATCAACTTAACTCAACTCTTGAGATGCAGGCAAATAGTATTTGAGCCTGAGGATTTAAGGCCGCATAGCTCGTGCACCTTGAAAAAAATATGAAGACAGGATTGCTTAGAGCAGAGTGGCAAACTTCACTTGCAAGGTCACGAGTAGTGAGCATACTTTGGATCTTTTCTCCAGGCCATGCCAGCAGGGTGGGGAATGAATATTAGTGTTAGAACTCTGCACTGGCTGCTGAGGATGAGGATGGAGTACATATCGAAATGTTCTGAGTACTGTGAAGTTAATTCTTGACTCAAATCAAATCAACTCAACTCAGCTCGTGCAGTGGTCATGAACTGTGCAGGTTAGGATTTTATTTTTGGGCCACAAGAAAATCCCATAATGTTACTGAGAATCTGAAACTGGGTCTTGTGTCAGAGCATTTATAAGAGGAGAGTAAAATGTCTAATGTAGTGTCCTGTATGATAAAAAAGAAGTCTAATGTAGTGTCCTGTATGATAAAAAAGAAGTCTAATGTAGTGTCCTGTATGATAAAGAAGAAGTTTAATGTAGTGTCCTGTATGATAAAGAAGAAGTCTAATGTAGTGTCCTGTATGATAAAGAAGAAGTTTAATGTAGTGTCCTGTGTGATAAAGAAGAAGTTTAATGTAGTGTCCTGTATGATAAAGAAGAAGTTTAATGTAGTGTCCTGTATGATAAAGAAGAAGTCTAATGTAGTGTCCTGTATGATAAAGAAGAAGTTTAATGTAGTGTCCTGTGTGATAAAGAAGAAGTTTAATGTAGTGTCCTGTATGATAAAGAAGAAGTTTAATGTAGTGTCCTGTGTGATAAAGATGAAGTCTAATGTAGTGTCCTGTATGATAAAGAAGAAGTTTAATGTAGTGTCCTGTATGATAAAGAAGAAGTAAAGTGACAGCTGTAGTGTCCTCTATAATAACAGAACAAGTTTTATGCAGACTGTAAAGGACGTACAACACTTTGCTACACTTGTACTCATTTCTAACCAGATTGTATGTCCTGGGTGATATGTGTAGGTGCTGTCTTGCAGATTTGTATGTGTGAGACAGATCACTGTTGAATTAAGAATTGACATTGTAGAACTTGGGACACTCCCATAAGTGCTCCGTCCCCATCTTCAGCAGCAAACAAAGAGTTCCAGTTTTGATAGCACTAGTAACTGTCTGAATGTATATCGGTCTTACCCTTCCTTTGAGTATTATCTGTCGGCCAGATCCCCTGGTAATTCCTTGCAGCGCTATTCTCTTCAGACTGTAATGATCTATTTGCACTTCTGCACTGTTTACTCACTCCCAGAGGGAACTCACAACGTCTAGCTTGTCATACATCAATTGACCACCAAGTGGTGCAAAACTTGCCAGTCTATCTGCTTGTTAATTTCCCAACAAACCGGCATGACCTGGAGAGAATATCCAAAGGATACTAACTACTCGGGATCTCTGAAGTGATGCTTGCCACTCTGCACGAAGCACACCTTTCTCAACATGCTCTGTAAGTCAGTGACAACAACGGCATGTGTGTACAGCTGATTCTCAAGCCAGCGGAAGGCAGCAGTAACTGATAATTGTTCTCACCTCAACTGTTAGAAGATCAAGCCTACAAAATAAACTGCTAACTACTTCCTGTATTTAACATTTTTACAGTGTAGGCAAAGTTGACTTTGACCCTGAGGATTTAGGGCAGCATGGCTTGGACTGCCAACACGGTCTGTGCAGGTTAGGATGTTATTTTTGCCCCTCACCAGAAAATAAATGCATCACTTTATTATGGATTCGAATCTGGGTCTCTGCATGAGAGTCCAGCGTTCTTAACTGTTTGGCCAGCTATTTCTCTAGAAGAGCAAGAAGGTAACATATAGCTAGACCTGCATGCCATATTCTTTCTGCATCCAAGTATGATGTGCATGGCCTCTCTGTATGTAGAGCAAAGAGTTGGAATTGCCATAGCATACTCAGTTATAGAAAGGACCAGACCCTGGTATAAAAGAGTGAGCTGACACTGCTCAGTTTGTCCTGACATTATCCTCATCACCGGCAAGTCTCTCTCATGGTATACATCAGGGTCATTCAACTGGCAGCTGGCAGTCCAGATTTAGCCCACAGAAACCTAGCCATGTGGCCCATGGAACATGCCCAGCTGTATCGTATTAATGTTCGGTCAATAGTGGAACTTGGGTTTCTGACCCGCGGCGATCCCAATTTTCAAAATTTTGACCCCTGAGTAAATTTAGTTGAACAGCCCTCGTATACATGCTTAAAAAGCAAGACTGTAGTCAAATTCACTCCTAGGTACTTCGTTGCCTAAATTTTCACTGTGATCTCTGCACAGACTCACATTTGGTGCTGGTGTGTTTATAATATGGTTATTCAATAAAATCAGGTCACTGTTCACTTTAACCCACTGACGACCGCTCCTGATTCACTAATCCACTGCTTATGTGAAAATAATAGAAGTGAAGTGCTGTGCATTGTGTATTTTATAGTTGAAAAACAGAGAAACTTAGAGGTGGACTTATTCTATGACAGTACATTATCTAATGTTTCTTCTCACAAAGTTTGTTGAAGACTAAATGTTAACTCTTTCAACCTTGGATTTAATAATCCGCTTTTGTAGCCACATGTAAATATATTTTACTCAGCACACATGATTATAATACTGTGCAAACATACAACATTATTTGTCACACAATTATAACCATGTGAAACGTACATTCCCAAGCACATGATTATAATCTTATGTCAAAACCTAGCACAGGGCCATAATATTATATAAACATACACTATTACCTAGGCAATTAAACAGGAAATAGAGGGATTGGGGAAATAAGGACATCCAAGAGAAATCCTAAGGTGAGCACTGACGAGAGAAGCCAAAGTTGCTGGAGTGGATTTCATCCATGATATTGAAGGGATTGCACAGAACAGAATGGATTAGAGAAATGGACTGTAAGCTCTATGTAACATATACTGGCACAACAGAACAATGAATGATGGATTACCGAAGCAAACAAATGAAAAGTGATTACACTGAAATTATACATTTATTTACCCTTGCTTGTGCCATACGTGTGGTCATTTGATGGGCCTGTAAAGGCAGAATATGTGGTACCACTGGTACGAGTCCAGTCAAAGTCATCAAACAGATCTTGATCATAGCTGCAGAAGCCATCATCCTCAAAGTCACAAGTGGCTGAAAGATAAACACAGAGACAACGTTATCAGAAGCAAATCTGAAATAATACTGGCTGTCTGACTGCTTTGATAATTTTATTTTAAATAATGAAAACAAAATGACAAATCAAACCATTTATCACAATACATATTGTACCCAGGAAATATTTTTTTTAATGAAGCCAGAACAAGTACCGATGCAGGCGCTAAGCATGAAAAGATCTGAAGTGAAAGTAAGAGGCTACCCTTGATGATATTAGAGAGCTACATAGACATGGAATGACAATAGTCATTGCTGGCCAACAAGAATGAATCGCAAACTGCTCCTCCTCACAATTCTTAATGGCAGAAGTGGAAATTGATTTTACAATTTCAAAAATTAGCTATCAAGTCTCTTTTCTCCCATGACACATGGACATGTGTTTTTAGGAAAGCAAACTTAAACAAAATTGCCATGGCTGAGACACAAACTGTCACCTCTGGGGTACTCTAAATAAAATGTCTTAGATGCTGAATAATCACTCATGGACAGATAAAAGAGTAAAGAAAATGTCTTGAAAGAAACCAACTAACAAAGAGAACTGATTGCCCATTTCAGAAAGAGACAATCTACATTCTTTGGTCACGTGATGAGAAGAAGAAAAACTGGAGTACATTGTGACAGTAAGAAAGTTGGAGAGGAGGAGAGGCTAGGAAGACTGAGAGAACAGATGCTGGACAGTTTGACATCATGGCATGAAGGGTCATCTGTGTCAGAGTTGATTGAAAGTACACAAGACAGTAGGTTGTTGATAGACAGGACTAACAATGCTATCCAGCGTGGTCTTTAAGAAGAAGAAGAGGCTTGATGGGATTCTTTGATAGATCTTGATCTTGTTGGACTGATTTCAGGATGCAACTCTGTTGGTTATTTGAATATTAAACCTTTAGGTTTTTGTTGTTGTTTTGTTGTCTATTTGTTCATAGTACAATTGTCTATCATAATCTCAACCCAAATCATAGCAAAAATTGAAACAATACAAACTACATTTCGGTCATATAAACAATTTCATGATATATAAATTTAAAATAGAAAATATATACTCTGAGAATTCAACACTTTATACCCCAATTATAACCCTGAGTATTGAACAGGATATTTTTTTTAAACTGCTACTACATCACTTAAGTAGTATTGTGAGAACATTCACTGTGGATAGGCACAAACAGATGATAGCAGCTCTAGCAAAGCAAGACATACAGAAGATAAAATAAGTGAACTTCACTGAAGCTATACAGATATCTTGAAAACATATCAACTAGTCAGGTTCACATCTAGACTGGAATTTTGTGCTGGCTGCTGAAGATGATGACGGAGCACACATGCTGTGATGTCAATTCTTGACCCAACTCAACTCAACTCAACATCTAGACTGCTTAGGTTTAATTTTCAAAATCAACTGGATTTTCATCCACTTTCTGGAGGACTGCAAACATTTTTTTTTTCAGCCTCAATAAAATGATTACAAACATAAAAATTGTTATCACTGTCATCGAAGCCATGCTGATATACATAGGCCATCATGCTGGGCCATCTCAACCAATCACCAAAATAAGGGATCGAATCAGTGTTCTTGTCTTGTCCCGTCTATAAGGCTAAGCCATCCAGACATGTTTCTCTTCACCTTCTCCCTTGCTCTTTTAAATCAGTCTGGCTAGTCATCACCAGTTTCTCGAGTTATGAAGTGTGAAATCGTTCACTTCCACAACATCATGAAATAGGTAGTTCAACACTGTTTTGCAACTTGGCAGTTACTTTATGGGTGCTGTGAGCCTCTGCCTACCATTGGGGAAGTTTAGACCATGAAAAGACCAGCAACTATCTGTCAGCTGCTCTGAAGCTCAGTCCACTACCTGCTCCCATGAAGGGCTAAACTAAAAACACAGCTAAAAATGTACAGCAACAATGAAATGAGATTCACCTGTCGGAGGGCAAGGGCCGTCATACACAACAATGTCATCAATGGCAATGTTTCCTCTAAAGCTAGCTCCGGCCAGACCTTCAAATATAATCTGAAGAAACAAAAGCATTATTAGTTAGACAGTTAGTCAGTCAGTTAATTAGATAGCTAGTTATTTATTAGTCAGGTAATTAGTTAGTTAGTTAGTTAGTCAATCAATTAGATAGCTAGTTATTGGATAGTCAGTCAGTCAGTCAGTCAATCAGTCAACTAGATAGCTAGTTATTACAGTCAGTTAATTAGTTAGTTAGTCAATCAGTAAGTCAGTCAGTCAGTCAATTAGATAGCTGGTTTTTTTCATCATGTATCTTATCACAACTGATGTCACAGAACATGATGAATTCCCATGCATGTTCACTTTTGATGCACCAGCAGTACCATTGCAAGACAAAGAGTACAAGCATTCACAGGGCATTAAGTGAACACACACACAAACCTAATTTAACACTATACCTTTTAGATAATTAAAAGCAGTAAAATATAATTTTCTTATGGCAAAATCATTCATCAAAAACTAAAAAAGTGCAATGAGTGTATAAAATGATGATAAGGGTTTCAAACCTTTACATAGCTGTTGGCAGCTCCTAGCTCTACGGCAGCATTGAGCCACCTAAGTCCTTGCTCTCCTTGTCTTGTCCATATTGCAGACCCAAGAGCAGAGGTTGTACCATTGGCAAGATATACACTGAGTCTGTTGATGTCTGCTCCATGCATGTGATACCAGAAGTTCAAGCAGCGTGCACCAGAGTTGCGGAACAATGGGCTAACCAGTCGTGCTGCTGTTTGGGCAAGTTGGTTGTATGCGTTGATGTAGAGGTAATGTCCTGTAAGAAGAAAATGTAATCTGCAGTAAGAAAAATAAACTTAATTTCTTGTTTAAATTATTATCACCATGTAGCGGATCCTTTGCAGAGCATCACTCTCATCATGGCACTCCCCAAAAGCAACTCAGAATCTTTAGAGGGCCTGAGTGGTCTCAAGGCATGACATCTGCTTTGAGTGCTGGAGGTCCTGAGTTCAAGCCATGGTGAAGGCTGTGATTTGTTCCCCCTGGACTTCTAGTAATTTTACCCGGTCTCTGGGTAGTAAGATCAGATGCTCATGTGTATTGTTGTGCACATAAAAAAAAAATTCCTTAGCAGTTGGAAATCGAAAAGAGTAGCCAAACGAGCAAAATTTAGAGTTTGAAATCTACCCAAAGTATTTTCAGGATCCTCACCGGTGCTACAGAGTTTGTGCACTGTGTCGAGATTCTTAGGACTCAGGCTTGAGTTAGAAGTAGAACGGAGCACTTGTGGGCTACTACCCTTGTGCCGTTGTTTTAAACCTAATGCCTATTTCAGTATTTCGCTAACTTTTCCACCTCATGAACCATCAAGCTAGTCATTTCCTGCCTCTTTCAGAAAACAAATCCTCCACTATTGTTCTCTCCAAACCATTATGGTGTTTAATATAGTGAAAGCAGGGCTTATTTTTCTGGTTGGTAATATTCAGTGGTACATAATACTGCATTTCTTTTGTTTAACACACTTATAGTGAGTACTAGCACTGTTTTCTAAAAAACAACAGCCCTTCATGAGAAACCATTTTCTTTTAATGCACTACTTTCTGATGTATCACACAGACAAAAAGCAGAATAGGACAGGCCAAAACTTCATTTTATCAAATTAGGAACATTGTATGCAATAAATCCATCTCATTGGAGGTTAGGAAAAGAATTCTGGCATGCTATAGATAGCCAGTTTAAAAATATATCTGTAAATCCTGGACAATTATTGAACAAGTTGAACAATATCTTGAGGAATCAGAGATATGGTTTTACAAAAGAATCCTTAGAATTCCATGGATAATCATAAAAGAGCAATCCAGATGTTTTGAAAAAGAAGAAGGCTAGAGGTCAACTTATCACAAACATCAGAAAGAGATGGTTGTCATTTTTTGGGTCATGTTATTATGAGAAGAGGGAACTGGAACTTGTTGTGACCACTGGAAAGATCTTGGGAAGAGAGCTAGAGGAAAACAGTGTGAAAAAATTCTTGACAGCCTTTTGTTGTGGCATGAAGGGGTGTCAACAAATGAACTGATACACACAGTTGCAGATCATAGATTGATCCATGAAACTTTAAGAATCTTTCTATAATACCTAAGTTCAGAATCCTCCATTTTCTTCTTAAGTGAATATTTGAACAACAGATCAACATCATGGAACAAGAGTAGCAACCCCTAAGTGCTCCATACTACTTCTAACTCAAGCCTGATTCTAAAGAATCTCAGCACATTGCTCAAACACCTTAGCACCACCGAGGATCCTGAACTACTTTGGATAGATTTTTAAGTTCAAAATTTTGTCTGGGCAGCACCGTTAGGCTACTTTTTTTCTATTTACAACTGCCTCTAGAGTGAATGTGATACAGTCCATGATTCAGATCCACATATTGCTACAAGAAAGAGCATGTTTCCAGGATTTTCACTTGAAGTTGTTTGCTGATGTTGTACCATAGGCTCTTCATACTATTTAACCTCTGTGTTTAAACAATCAACTATCTGGACATGTAGCTCATGTTGACCATGTAAACGTCTATTAAATGTGCATATTTTTGGGCGAGAAGATGGCTTCTGTGGATATCATCATTAACTTCCCATTCTGCCATGAAACATGGTGAGGAAGAGTTTGTAGAACAGCAAGCAATCGGCAGCACTGGCTAATGTCAACTCTGCCATGAAACATGGTGAGGAAGAGTTTGTAGAACAGCAAGCAATCGGCAGCACTGGCTAATGTCAACTCTGCCATGAAACATGGTGAGGAGGATTTTGTAGAACAGCAAGCAATCGGCAGCACTGGCTCATGTCAACTCCAGGTGAAGATAAATAATCTCGTTAATGCAAACAACCCATCTTAAAAGCTGATTTGAAATGTTCATTACATTCACTAAAGCCAATCTCACACTTGAATTGATTGGTTCTCAAGTGCAACTTTTTATGGAGATCTCTGGGGATTGTCACTGGACCTACGAAGTCT